TTACATTTACATTTAGTCATTTTGCAGATGCTTTTATCCAAAGCGACTTAAAATTGGGGAATACATAAAGCGATTCTTCTTAAAGAAGCAAACAGACACAGGAAGTGCTCGTAATACCAAGTTTCAGGCATTGTTCAAAAAAGTACAAGCTAGAAAGGGAAGGAATAAATAAAGAGAAAGACAAAGTTTTTTTAATATATATATATATATATATTTTTTTTTAGAATGAAGTCAAATAGTGTCGAAAGAGATGAGTTTTCAGCTCACAGATTAGTTTTCTTTAACTCACATATGTGGGTCAAAGACAAGACATCCCATTTTGGTTTCCAAATCAAATTCTTTTACAAATTAATGAATTTACAAAAGTGATTTTATATACACAGAATCAAATATTACATTCAATTAAAGGGTGTATTCACACCTGTCTTGTTTGGTTCGATTGAATCGAACTCAAGTTCGTTTCCCTCCATGGTGCGGATATTTTGGGCAGGTGTGAATACAGTAATCGCACTCGGGTGCACAGCAAACAACCGTACCGAGACCCAGCTGAAGAGGTGGTCTCGGTCCGCTTCCAAACGAACTCTGGTACGGTGACCTTAGTGAATGGATGACCTTAAGCACACGTGTGGTTTTGTTTACCATTTCTGGTTCACTTGCAAAAAGGACAGTGTGAATGCGAACCGCACCAAGCCAAAAAAAAATCTACATTGTATTTGGTCCGGACCAAAGCAAGTGAACTAGCGGACTTTCCTGGTGTGAATACAGCCAAAGAGTCTACTTTAATGTTTCAAATAACTTTTGTAAAAACGCAATGTCGAAATATGGGTGAATTAATGTGTCATCTTCATTCAGCGTAACACATTTATGTAAAAATCAAACAATGTGCTTATTCTGACCTGCACTTATCAAAATATATTACTATATATCACTGACAAATGGGTAAAATGTAGTAGATGCGGCAAATATTAAAGATTTAAAATTTCAATGAATTAGTATTTTGGTGCTGCACTGTTATCCATAAATAGTCTTTTAATGTCATCTGATTCTTGTTGTAAATATGCCTTACAAGATGTTTTGGTACAGTATATGAACTACTGTTACACTGAATGCTATTTTTGGTGGGTTTCTTTTGTAAATCATGGTAAAGAAGTCATTATTTTTTTCTTAGAAGAAAATAAAATTGTACAGGACACATTATAATGTACAAAAAAGCAACATTTGTTGCTATATTGAAAGCTGTTATTTATTTATGTATTCATTTACATATTTATTTATATTTAATAATTAGCGAATTTTTATTTATTTATTTTTTCCAAAAAAAGCACCTAGCGACAAATCTTTAGGGTTTGCCCTTAGTTTCTTTGACTCATTGGTACTGCCGCGCGAGCGTGAGGTCTCTCTTTTCCCGCTGCGCACACACCTCTCTCAGCGTCTGCTCTGTTCAGCGAGCGGCTGAGAGGAGCAGCGCTTTAATGAGGACAACAGAAGTAATCAATTGTAGTATTAAAACAACTAAAAACAGATCCGAAACTAAAAGCTAAAACTTTATAAATACTACTTATACACATTTTAAAAATAAAGAAATTAAATAAAAATGACAAATGCATACAACAAAATTTCAAAACTTAACATTTAAATGAAAAACAAAAAATAAAGCTAAAAACAATTCAAAATATTAAAGAACAAAAGGTATAAGAGTATAATAATGATTCTAACATAACATTGTATATTGTAATTAAAATTGTATAAATGCATTAAATGTTTGTTACATATTTCTGCATGTTGTCGTCATGTCTGTTTCATCCCAAACTTTGTGTCTCTTCTTTAGGATTTCCTCATGGAGACGTTTATCATGTTTAAGGATCTCATTGGGAAGAACGTGTATCCTGCCGACTGGGTCATAATGAACATGATGCAGAATAAGTAAGTAGATGTGCTCAGTACTGTTTGCTAACTAGTGTTCCCTATAATGCTGTGTTTCTATTGGTCAGACCCTTTAATCGCCAGAGCAGAAAGCAGTCTGTGATGTTGTTTGTCAGCACTGTTTTCTGCAAGTAAAATGGGTTGCCGGTGAGGTTTGATGTAGACTTAAATGAACTAGTTGAAATGCTGTTCATTCATTTAGCAAGTTTCTTCTTGCTTAGTTGAGCTGATTTTCTGTTTTTCGTTTTGCGCTGGAGCAACATCAGAAATGTGCAGTCGTGTAGAGGGAGCATCGCTTACATTAACTCTCTCTCCCTTCAACACATGCTGCTGTTGCTTAGAAACAGCAGTCAGAAATGGCCAAGAATGTGTTTGCGAATATTTTTATTTTCCCATCAGTGCAACATCAGTTAGTGTGTGTGTCGGGCATGTAGCATTTCCATGTGCACCTGCGTGAATTCGCTCTGTTCTCGCTCGATCAGAAGTGTGGCGGCTGCTGAAATGAAAGCCATGAATTATGAATCTGTGTGTGTGTGTATCTCTTGTTGTTTTTTGTTTTATTCATGCCTCTCTTCTCAACTCCTCTGCCAAACCGCGTCCAGCGTGACTGTGAAGATGAAGGTTTAGCGCTCTTTCACAGCCAGCAGGAAGTCAGACCTGAGTTTCCTGTCGCAGACTTGGAGAGTTTTCTGAGAGTCCCTGATCCGAAGCAACCGTTTGCTTGTTTCACAGCGTAATTGTCATGTTTATATTGAGGCAGAACAGTGCTGGGTAGTTACTGATTACATGTAATTCAAAATATTAAGTACGTGTTCTGTAATGGATTACGTTACTAACTACAATTTTTGTCATGTAATTTGTAATCAGTATCTGACTACAAGTTGTAAGTAATCTACCCAGCACTAAGCAGGCAGGAGTTCTTTCTTTTGCTCATAATTATTCTTATACCAAAGCCAGCAGGAAGTCAGACCTGAGTTTCCTGTCGCAGACTTGGAGAGTTTTCTGAGAGTCCCTGATCCGAAGCAACCGTTTGCTTGTTTCACAGCGTAATTGTCATGTTTATATTGAGGCAGAACAGTGCTGGGTAGTTACTGATTACATGTAATTCCAAATATTAAGTACGTGTTCTGTAATGGATTACGTTACTAACTACAACTTTTGTCATGTAATTTGTAATCAGTATCTGACTACAATTTGTAAGTAATCTACCCAGCACTAAGCAGGCAGGAGTTCTTTCTTTTGCTCATAATTATTCTTATACCAACTATTTTTGCCGCCTAACTTACGTGAATGATGCCTCCGAGAAACCGAGTGTCTTGTTGAGGACATAGCAATGAATGCACTAAAAATCTGTGATCTGCTGTTGGAAATAAAGTGCTGATCTTCAGATGCGCGAAGGTGATGAGAAGTTCTGATGTTCAAACAAATAAGATCTTCTGTAAAGTTCTGAGTTATTTTCCCATCTATCTGTGCCAGTATTGTAGACATACTGTATGATACAGGCTTCTCCGTGTGACTGACACATTCCTGATGTATTCCTCTGCTGTGGAGCAATGCTGCTGGGATTGTGTTGGATTTGTGTTTTGGATTTGATTGGCGCAGAGGTCGGGGGTCAGGCTTTCATATTGGAATTCATAGAGTCTGGCAGCAGCCACCTGCGTGCCGGAGCGCTGATGGAAGACCCTCCACCCGCAGGTGTGGGAAAGTGGAGTCAACAGGTGCATGAGACTGCAGGAAAACAATGTACAGTCACCCTCTCTGTAACGCACTCAGTGGGCGTCACTGATGGAGGCGGATAAGCACTTGTTTGGTGTGCCCTGCTGCTCACTGGCTCCATTTTCACACCGACAGCAATGTGACACAGCAACTCCATTCACAGGTGAAAATCATCTCATTTCATTTCTCAAAAAATTGAACCTTATGACTGGTTTTGTGGTCCAGGGTCACATTTGTCTACAAAGCCTTAAATTGACTCCCTTTTCACGCTGAGAGCAATGAGACGCAGTAACTTGATTCACAGGTGAAAATCTGATTTTTTAAATTTTTTTATTAAATAGTTACATGAAATTCCAATAAATTTAATAAATAAATGTATATTATAAATAAATTTAAATTTAATCAACTAATATTTTAAAATTTAGAATATTATTGTTCATCATACCCTCAGCGGCATTTGCCTACAAAACCTTATATTTATGCTATAACTGATTTATTCTGGGTGTTTGGATATTAAATGGCATGTACAAAAAAAAAAGAAAGAAAGAAAAGAAAAGAAACTGTAAAATTGACTCAAAAATATGGCTCTTTGTTATTCAGTGAATGTTCACAGGCTATATGAGCGGGTTCAGGGCATGCTTTTTGTTTTGTTGTAGCTTCTTGTCGTGATGTACATACATGCTCGTAATGAACAGGCATGTGCTGTGAACTGCCGGGAATCTGTCTAATGCACCAGAAATAGTGTTTCTATTTCTTCCCGAAGGTGATTAACACCTTCAGTCACATTCATCACAGAATGCAGGTGATGTGGAATGAAGACACCTGCACTCAGATAATGGACAATGCTAGATTAGATTTCTCGTGATGTGCATGTGTTTGTGTTTATCCAGGTGAATCAACACTTTTGTTAATAAAGTGGCTGGATGTGTTAGAGAAGAGTCGTATTATTACAGGTGTGATACTGACAACTGTGTTACATTATTATAATGTTAAATTGTGGATTTCAGATTTATGGTGCAAATATGGATGCGGTTTTCGAGCGTTTGTGCACATTGCTTTGTTCATGTACATTTAGTGTATAATCAGTTTTCCATATATCTTTACTTCTATGCATAGTAATTTTTTGTGCCGTCTTCACACATCACAAGCTCTCTCGTTTCCCATCTGGATTAACTATGCCAACTCTGAATTAATTTTCAAATCAGTTGACGTTTGAGCTGCAATCTTTGATATGTGTTTGAGCTTTGTTTCAGAAACGTGTCTCAGGTTACTCTGAAATGTGATCCTGCAAGTTTTGAACATATTTTTATCCCAAACCCTGTCATCTCTCCAACACTTCTCTCGTTAGGAATGAACTGCACCTGCTGATAGTGTTGTTTTAGCACCCAGTTAATTATAGTAATTATGCAAATCAGGTAATGCCACAGTCACACCCATAAAATTCACATTATATTAATAGAAATATGTGTGTGTGTGTGTGTGTTTAATTTTTTATTTTTTATTAATATTTATTTAGAATACACTACCTTTCAAAAGTTTGAAGTCGGTAAGATTTGTTTCTGAAAGTCCCTAATGCTCAGCATGCATTTATTTGATCAAAAATACAGTAATAATTTTGAATAATTTTGCAATTTTTTTCTTTTGTAATGTATTTTATTCCTGTAATGGCAAAGCTAAATTTTCAGCATCCATCTTAATCCCACATTAATGCATGCTTGCTGTATAAAGGGAAGATTACAACATGTCTATATACTAAAGCACACACATAAATTAAAATATATATAAATGCCTCCTTGCTAAATAAAATAAATTATAATATGAAATAATGAAAATTGTTTAGTTTAATGTTATATAATAAAATAATTGTGCATAATTTAATGTATATTTTATGAATTTATTTATTTATTTTGTTTGAATTTGGACTACATTGTGTCTATAAGATGCAGAGCTTTGTACAGTAAAGTGTGCTAAAGTTGCGCATGCGATTTATCGTGCAGCCCTAGTTGTAACATTTTTTTTTTTTGTAATTCGCTCTATATGTGTTTCCCTCGTGGTGAGAGAAAAAAACATTGTAGCTCAGTATAGTTTTGCATTTCAAAAAACTTGTTAGATTAAATCTCGTTCTCTGGAGAGCTGGAGGTGCTTTCGTTGTAAACTGCACTTTTTATGAGTGTGGTTTCGGTGTAAAAGTTAGCAATGCATTATTAAGAGCACGTCTCTTCCCTGCATAAAGTCTCATAAAGTTAGTGATTTTTACCTCCAGAGATTGGCTTTTGTGGTGTCAGCATTTCATCTGCTTATAAAACGGTTGGGCTACTTCTCCTCGTGCTGCCGGAGGACATCATGTCTTTCTGATAGGAGCTGATCTCGCTCTTGTTTCTCAGTCTCTCGTGTAGTTTGGTGAGCGTGACCTTTCTCAGGCTGAGAGCTGCTCTCCATTCAGCCAGTGTGACTCAATTTGCACATGATGGCATTTGTTGTTCGCTCGCTGCTTGCTGTTGTTGCAGGCCTCTTGTGATTCAGAATGAACTTTCTCAAAAGAAACAAACAAAGAATGCAAAAGGTCCCTCAAGGTGCTCCGTTCTCGGCGTGATTCAGGGTTGACCTGTTTGAATGAGTGAATCACGTGGTTTGAATGAGATGTTCCTTGAAATGCCCCAGTTGTAAAATCAATAAAAGATTTTGTCACAGATTAAAGTAGTTTTATTGCAATACAGTAGATGTGTCTTGTAATGAGCCCTTGTCTTCATTTATTTTAGTATTATTTATATCATGTATTATTATAGTTTTTAGTATTTTGAATTAGATTTTATTTTTATATTTTCTGTTTTCATTTTCATTTTAGATTTTGTTTTTTTTGACATTTTTATAAATTTTTTTATGCATTTTTATCAGTTTTTAGTTATTTTAGTACTAGGAATAAAATAAGTTTAAGGGCTTCTTATATTTTGTTTTGCTTTTTTTTTTCCAAGTAATGATGTATAATTCATTTTATTTATTATTTATTTATTTTTTGATAATAACCCTAGTATTTTCACACTACAGCTTTTGGTGTAGTCACTTTGTTGAGGTTTGTTTCGTCAATGTTTTCCTAAACTCTGGTACTTTTATTTTTTATTTTTATTTTTTATTTTCATCATTGCTTTTGATCTTTTCTTTTTGTTTTTAGTCTAGACCAACTCTGAATCACAAACAGAAAAACATTGCCAAATTTTTTTAGTTTATCACATTTTATTTCTGTTCTTTTAATAAGAATATATATAAAAAAAAATAAAAAAATGTAT